TACAAATACAAAGAAATTAATTGGCCAACTAATATATATAGAAAAAATTAGGCGGGCATGGTAGCGCATGCCTGTAGTCCCAGCTACTCGGGAGGCTGAGGCAGGAGAATTGCTTGAGCCCAGGAGTTTGAGATTGCTGTGAGCTAGGCTGACACCATGGCACTCACTCCAGCCTGGGCAACAGAGTGAGACTCTGTCTCAAAAAAAAAACAAAAAAAACTGTTAATATTAATAAAAATTGGGATATAGTTAAATTCGGAAGGGAAGGGAGGATATTAAGAGAGTTGGTATTATAGATAACAAAAATTCTCAACTTCGTATACCGTGTTTCCCGCAAAATAAGACCTAACCATAAAATAAGCCCTAGCAGGGATTTCTAAGCATTTGCGCAATATAAGCCCTAGGCCCGAAAATAAGACTAGTGATGGGCCTGGATATCAGCACATCTGGCACAACCCAAGCATTTTGTCAGGAGGTGGTAAAGAAGACTAGCAGCCCTTCTTATCTGCCCATGAGAGCTCTAGTGCTCCAGATTAGAGATGGGCCAATGGTTCTAAAGGAAATAGAGTCGCAAGAAATTCAGGATGGAATCAGGTTTTGGAGAGTTATGATGATGTCCAGAAGAAGATGACTTAACTATATTTGATAAATGTAGATTGTTGTACTATACTTAAAAAAAAAATAACACATCCCTGAAAATAAAGCCCTAGGGTGTCTTCTGGGGGAAAAATAAATATAAGACCCTGTCTTATTTTTGGGAAACACGGTAGTAGGGAGTCAATTGATTATATCTAAAGTAGAAAAAAAAAAAAGAAATAATATATGAGCATGTTTTTTAGAAGTACAGAGGCAAGTACCAAGAAGCAGCAGCTAGCAACATGAGAGTGGATTGTATGGGAGGAGATCATATGTAGGGGTAGAAGAGGTAGCAGGAGACTGTTATTTTTCATTAAAAACCCTGTAGAAGGGCCGGGCGCATGGCTCCATGCCTGTAATCCTAGCACTCTGGAGGCCAAGGTGGAGGATCGCTCAAGGTCAGGAGTTCAAAACTAGCCTGAGCAAGAGGCGAGACCCCGTCTCTACTCAAATAGAAAGAAATTAATTGCCAACTAAAATATATATAGAAAAAATTAGCCGAGGCATGGTGGTGCAGCCTGTATCCCAGCTACTCAGGAGGCTGAGGCAGAAGGATTGCTTGAGCCCAGAGTTAGTTGCTGTGAGCTAGCTGACCCATGCACTCTAGCCTGGGCAACAGAGTGAGACTCTGTCTCAAAAAAAAAAAAAAACAAACCTGTAGAACTAGTTGGATTTCAAAAACTATACAAATTCCTTTGTTAACATAAAAATTAAGCAAATGAAAACATTTTAAAACCTGCTATATGAGCTTCAGAGCCCTAATGCTAGCCACCCCAACCCATCCTACCAAATCTACTGGTTCCTCACCTGGTCACCAATGACTCCAAATATTGGCACACTACAGGGGATGGACATCAGCTTTGCAGATCCATGAATTCTATTTTACTCACACCCGGTAGACTTGGCCCTGACAGACTGCCACTCCCCAGAATATTTTTTGGGAGAACGATAATGAGGAGGGGCTTTCCCTAGCACACATAAAGATAGGTGATAAATTATAAAGCTATAATAATCATCAGCAGCAGAACAATAAACATTCTTTAAAGAGCTATTATGTGTTCTACCCTGTGTGACACAGTCATGTTTAATTTTCACAACACACTGCAGTAGGTACTTTTATATTCCCATGTATGAATGAAAAACTAGACACAGGGTAAAAGGTAAGTAACTTGCCCAAGGTTATGCATATAAAATAGCAGGGCTGTGCCACAGACTCCAAACTAGTTTCTTTTTTTTTTTTTTTTTTTTTTTGAGACAGAGTCTCCCTTGTTGCCCAGGCTAGAGTGAGTGCCGTGGCGTCAGCCTAGCTCACAGCAACCTCAAACTCCTGGCTCAAGCAATCCTGCGCCCTCAGCCTCCAGTAGCTGGGACTACAGGCATGCGCCACCATGCCCGGCTAATTTTATATATATATTAGTTGGCCAATTAATTTCTTTCTATTTATAGTAGAGACTCTCTCGCTTGCTCAGGCTGGTTTCGAACTCCTGACCTGAGCAATCCGCCCGCCTCAGCCTCCCAGAGTGCTAGGATTACAGGCGTGAGCCACCACGCCGGCTTATGTTCTTTTTTTTTTTTGAGACAGAGTCTCAACTCTGTTATCCCGGCTAGAGTGCTGTGGCGTCAGGTAGCCTCACAGCAACCTCAAACTCTGGGCTCAAGCACCCCTGCCTCAGCCCCCAAGTAGCTGGGACTACAGGCATGCACCACCATGCCTGGCTAATTCTTTCTATATATTTTTAGTTGACCAATTAATTTCTATTTTGGTAGAAACAGGGCCTCGCTTTGCTCAGGCTGGGTTCAAACTCCTGACCTTGAGCAAAACCCTAAATATGCTATAAAAAATGTGGTGCAAATTTCTCTAATGCTCAGCTCAAGCATCGTGTCTTCTAGGCAGCCTTCCTGGGCCTTGATCCTGTTTGCAGGGTTGGCCACTATCTTCCTCCTCTGTGTTCCCACGGACTCTCTTTTTAGAAGGCAATAACCATGTTGAGCTGCAAGGTTTTGTTTCCCTGCTTATCCTGACCAGGACCATTGCATCTCCAGGATCGAGCACAGTGTGGGGAAATCCAGCAGGGTTTCTATAAATGTAAGATGAGGGGCAGTTTAGCGTCAGATCATCTGAAAAACTAACACAGCTTTCCCGGTCCCAGGGAATATAACTACTCCAAAGACTCCAGCCTGCCAGACACAGGGTATTTGGCCTAGGATAGCACTAGACAAAAGACAGCAGATTCTCATGGTCCACCTTCTTTCTCTTCAGTCTTTTTGCAGATCATCACTCTTTGTGCCACCTTGTGATTACAGCAGGGTATGAGAGGCAGTGCAGCTTGAGAACTAAAATTGGGCTTTTAGAGCCCAGTTGTCCTGGGGTTGGCTCCTGGCTTCAGCTTCTTCCTTTATTTAGCTATGTGACCTTGGGCAAGTAACTTAACCTCTCTGAGCCTCAGTTTTCTCGGCTGTACAATGGAACCAATTAAGTGATCCTCCTCCAGAGTGTTGCTCTCAAAATTAGAGATAATGTAGGTAGGGTGCTTAAAACAATGTATCACATTTGGGGGAGGCCGAAGTGCGGCTGAACTTTTTGAGCTCAGGGTTTCAAGACCAGCCTGGGCCGGGTGCAGTGATCACGCTGTAATCCTAGCTCTCTGGGAGGCCGATGCGGGTAGATTGCTCAAGGTCAGGAGTTTGAAACCAGCCTGAGCAAGAGCGAGATCCCATCTCTACTATAAAGAGAAAGAAATTAATTGGCCAACTAATATATATATGAAAAAATTAGCGGGCATGGTGGCACATGCTAGTCCCAGCTACTCGGGAAGTAAAGGCAGAAGGATTGCTTGAGCCCAGGAGTTTGAAGTTCCTGTGACCTAGGCTGACACCACCGGCACTCACTCTAGCCTGGGCAACAAAGTGAGACTCTGTCTCAAAAAAAAAAGAAAAAAAGAAAAAACAATGTATGACATTTGGGAGGTATGTAATCCATGGTAGTTACTCTTTCTCTTTTTTTTTTCTTCTTTTTTTTTTTTTGAGACAGAATCTCAACTGTTGCCCAGGCTAGAGTGCCGTGGCATCAGCCTAGCTCACAGCAACCTCAAACTCCTGGGCTCAAGCAATCCACTGCTTCAGCCTCCCGAGTAACTGGGACTACAGGCATGCGCCACCATGCTCCACTAATTTTTTATATATATTTTTAGTTGGCCAATTAATTTCTTTTTTTTCATTTTTTCTTTTAGTAGAAACGGGTCTCGCTCTTGCTCAGGCTAGTCTCAAACTCCTGTTCTCGAGCGATCCTCTCTGCCTCGGCCTCCCAAGTGCTAGGATTACAGGTGTGAGCCACTGCCCCAGCCGGGTGGTATTGTTCCGAACAACTTTATTTTAAGGCATATTCTAATGATATCACCCCAACCTCCAAAATTAAAAAAAATAATCTCTCTGAAAAATAAAAGTGATTTAATCTCCTAGGTCCTATCAGTCATCTAAGTAAAACTGCTTTCTTTGGTCCCTCTGTTCTCAAAGTCGTCTCTTATTCCCACAACCCACTGCACCTGGGGAGTTGGTCAGCAGGACCAGCTGAAACAAGGAGCTCTCTTTGGTATCAAATTGGTATTAAGGTGTTAAGTGGTCATGTGAGCTTCCTCAGGTTTGCAGGAGCCGGTAGTTCCTGTCTTGTTCCTGGGGGTACTTCCAGAAAAGCCAGAGGCGGATAAAGCTGGTGAGGATTCCTGGAAAGTTGGGCACCTGAAATCACAAGGACTGCTATGAGGAGAGAAGCCAATTTTCCACCATGCACACCTGTGACCCCATCCCTATTCTGCTTACCATGATGTAGGGATCTCTGAGTCGAAACCCATAGAGACACCAGGAGACAGAGGTAAGAAGGGTAGCAATGGTGAGTGAGAAGGAGAAACATTGTGTTGATTTAGTCTGAATGACCTTGGCCTGTGGGAAAGAATGACAGACACTCCTGGCCCAGTTGCATAGTAAAACTCTCACTTGCCTAAAAACTTCCTTAGGAAAAAGGTCAAACATCCTCCCTGATCTGTCACTCAGCCCTTCTTTCATGCCTCCCACTCACCCACTTCTGCTGCCTTGTCTCCTTCCAGGATTTGGGTCTCCCCTACCTCTAGAGTATAAGCTTGTTTTTGGCTATGACAGCCTGGCCCCTCTTATCTCCCCTACCTCCCTGGACACCCCTACTCACCAGGTCAGTCAGGGGTGAGAGGTACATGCTGATGGTGAAGACACTGCAGAAGAGGCCCAGCTGCTGAAGCCGGGCCTCAGGGTCGGGCACCAGGAGCCCAAAGTAGCCATAACCCAGGAGAAGGACCCCTAGCAGGGTTGCGGTCTGTAGCAGCACAGCACGCTGCAGGGGAGAGAGGAGCCTTACTTCCAGATGTGCCAGGAAGCAGTCTGATTTCCCTGCTAGAATTAATTCATACTGCCCTCTCCCATGCTCCAAATGGGGAAGCTAACCTTTGTCTAAGCCTCCAGCATTGCGCTTGTCACAGCCCCTTTCCAACCAGTGGTGGGAAGTCTTATACACCCAGAACACTGGAGGTCTCCAGGGGAGGGAAAGGTATCTTTTTTTCTGTGAGCTTGGCACAAACAGTAGGAGCATAATAAGTGCTTGTGTGATTGAGTGGGGAGGCAGAGCTAATCATCTCATTCTCACCCACTGGCCCTGGCTCTGAAAGAAATACCAGACAAAGCCCTTTCTCTTCAGCTTGTTGGGCAGAAGTTCAGGGCAGCATGGGCATGTCAGGTTAGGCAGAGCTACCAGCCGTGCCTAAAGGATGGCAGCGTGTGTCTCAGAAGGCTGGCTTCATGGAGGAAGAACTGCAAGGCTGGAGAGGCCTTCCAGGAAAGGGTGGCAGTGCCAGCTTGTCATAGCCTTCCAAGAAGCAGTGTTTGTCCAAGGCAGGGCATGCAGCAGAGAAGTGGGTCCAAGGGAGGGCCTCTACCTTTCGCGGGCAGTAGTGCAGATACGCAGAGATATACAGGGCCTGAAGCACAGCACCCACTGCGTTGACGACGATGAGGGTCCCATCTCCCTTCAAGGCCCCATAACTCAGCCAGCCCAGGTTGCTGCCGGGTGGAGGAAAGGGACATGGTCCGCGGGGATCAGCGTGGGAGGGGGACCCAAGGGGTCTCTTTCACACTTCTCCTACCCCTCCCCACACCTCCCTCAGACAGCCTTTCCCACCGCAGCCGTCGCCCCTCTCACTTGACTTCCGTGGTGAGAAAGGGCAGGAACTGGACGCTGTCCACGCTCCGGGTCATTCGCATATGCCTGAGGTCCGTGCTGTAATGGGGCCCCGAGAGGGATGAAGGTGGGCAGGGAGAACCAGGGTGCTGGGGGAGATTCCCGATGCCTGTCATCCTCCCCGGACAACCGCAGACCCTCCCTCAGCTCCCCTGCCTTCTGCCTCAGGCTCAACGACCAGCCTCGACCTTGTACCCCGGTCCCCTCGACGCGATTCCACTTTGACCCCAGGTTCCGGACGCAGCCCGGCGCTGTGGCCACGTCTCTAACCCCCTCTTTCTCTTTTCCTGACTTCCCGGTCCGGCCCCAGCCCAGCCCGGCCGCGCTCTCACAGGCCGGTGGAGAACATGCCGAGGGTGAAGACCACGCAAACTCCGGATAGGAGCGAGTCGAACACACCGCCCGTCTCCATCACGCCCAGAGTCGGATCCCGCGCTCAGCGTCCCGCGCCAGCGGTCTGGCCCGGACCTGGGACGCCGGAGCCCCGCCCCGCGCGCACTCGGCTCCGCCCCCGCGCGCTCGGGCCGTCCCTCCGGAAACTGAAGCGAAACCCGGCCCTCCCCGCGAACGCCGAACCGGAACTCGGGCCCCGCCCCGCCGCGCGCCCGCCGGGGCCGTCCCGGCTCGCGCCGTCGCGCCGCCCCTCCCAGTGGTACTAGTGCAGGCCTTGCCCTCCAGATCCTGGTCGGTCCCTGTCCTACGGCTCGGCTGATTTTGTCCCCGGCCCCCGCCGCTCCTCACACTCCGCCAACCCTTGGATCATCCAGCCCGGGGTCTCAATGCTTGTGTTCCTACAGGCCGGTGCGCCTACGGTGTAGACCTCAAAACAAAAGCTTGCTAGACTCAACTGGACTTCAACACGCCTTGCATCCAGAGCGCCATATAGGAATCTCAGTTGCACAGGGTTTGGGAGGCTTTTCCCGGAGTTTGCTGAAACCTCTTCCCTAAATAACAGGGATTGCCAGAAATCACCAAGTCTCTCAGATGCCGTCCCTCTTGAGCCACTAGGCCAACTTTACACAACTTGGCCAACCCACTGAAGCCTCTATCACTGACCCCTTAATCCAACCCACTTGCTGCTGGTAAGTTTCCCTCCCAGCCTCCCACATGTCTCTGCAGATGGGGCTGTGGGGCGGGGCCGCGTGCCTCAGCTGGCGTTCCCAGCTTCCCTGACTCACCCAAGCAGCCTAAGTACCTGGATAGTATGCCAAAGCCCAGCTCTGAGGGGGTGGGAGAGTGGGTAGAGATTGAACAGGAAGATATCTGAGAGTGGAGTGCAGCTTAGACTGCTGTGGGACCACTCCTGTCGGGGACTACCCTCAGAGGAATAAACACCCCACCCTTTGGGCCTGGTGAGGGGCATATATTCTTTGGAGAGAGAAAGCATTTCAAACCAAGTTGCTATGGGTGTAGCACAGAGCCTAGCACATAGTAGGAACTCAGTGGTCATAAATTAATGTGGAGCAGCAGAAAAGCACATCCAAAAAAACAAACACTTTATTTTGAGACAAAGAACATTGTATAAAAACACTCCAGTTGTAGAAATCAGCACAGACACACAACAAGTTTATATACAGATACTGTACATATGGGCCCTGCCCTTTAGGCTACACTCTAGGCAGACTGTACACATGGGCACTGCCCTTACAGCTACACTCTAAGAACAGGTTGGCACAGCCCCCCTGCTGGCATAGCTCTGGGGAGCTCTGCCCCAGGACGGGGGAGAATGCAGTGCCTGGCTACAAACCTCTCTATAGCAGCTCCACAGAAGGAAGTTTTGCCAGGAGATGCTGGGTCAGCCCAAGCATGCTACCTCTCTTGTACCTGGCTCCAAGCAGGAAACTGTTTCTTACTTTTCCTTCTCTCAGTTCATCTGAACATCCTGGCTCTCTCTTGGAGGGGCATCTTTGCCAAGCTCTGTCCATCCATGTGGCCCCAGGCCTCTTCCAGCTTGGCTCCCACTGTGCCTTTTTTAAGGGACCATGTCTGCACAGCTTGTTTCTTTGTCTTAAAGGCAGGAATGGTGGGGAAAAGACTGTCCCCACTTCTTTCTCCATCCCTTTGAGATGGAGGTAGAGATGGCACTGCCAGGCTGGTTGACCTTTGGGTTGAAACCCTTAATACTGACCCGTTTTGAGGCTGCTGGGTGACAGCTTGTGCATGTGGCGGGAGTGGTTCCCAGGGCTGGGGCTTTGAGAGTGGCCCCAGGACACGTGTGCGGTGCCTGCTCCTGTCCCCTCAGCCCAGTTCCAATCCTTAAGGCCAGGTGTGGCGTACACCTTCATGGGGTTTGTAGCAACAGAAGTGGCAGGAGCAGCACAGCCCAGGCAAATGGGAAGAGGCGGGGGGCAGCACTGTGACCGATGCTATGTAGAACCTGCACCTCCGGGTCATCTGCAAGGTGAGAGGGCAAAGGCCCCCATTGTGAGTGGCCCCACTATTTGCACTGACTCTCAGCACAACAGGGTTTCCCCAGCCCCGGCCTGGAAAAAGAGCCACCTCCTGTACATAACCTCCAAGCAGACCCCTTCTTGTGCCCCAGACCCAAATTGCTCCAGTTACCCACCTGCTGCAAGTCTCTTCTCCTGTGAATTGGCATGTGGCTGAGGATTGTGAACTGAAAGATAAGAGTAGCAGTAGGTCAGGCATTATACCAGGGAGGCAGAGGGGTACAAGTGCTGAGTGGGCTGGGCTGTGGGATTTCCACACCATCCCAGATCACTAGACCAGGCCCAGCATAGAAATGCAGGAGGGAGGCCCACAGGGCCCTGACACTCACTGATTTTGCCATTGACAGTCACCTTCAACCTCAAACACTGGTCTTCTTGGTGGTGGATGGGTTTGGCTGCAAGATAAGCCCACAGGGGGTTAAGGAAAGAACCTTTGTTGCAAGAAAATATAAGCCCAAGTGCCTCTGGCCCTGCTTTCTTGGCTCCCTACTAATTTTAATTCCTCTCTTCCCTCTAATCTTGATTCTTACTCTCCTTAGTTTTTGCCGACTTCCTGCCCAATGTTCAGCCCAACCTCCTATTCTTTGGAATAACCCTTAGCTTTGACAGTGGTGGTAAAAAGAACATAGATGCTGTCCCCTCCCCACATTCATCCTTCACTCCTCCAAGCCTGAAGATGGGTGAGGTCTTCACAATATGTTCCCTTTTTTTTTTTTTTTTTGACTACCCCATCCACTCAGACTTTTTTTTTTTTTTGAGACAGAGTCTCACTTGTTGCCCAGGCTAGAGTGAGTGCCGTGGCAGCCTAGCTCACAGCAACCTCAAACTCCTGGGCTCAAGCGATCCTCCGCCTCAGCCTCCCGAGTAGCTGGGACTACAGGCATGCGCCACCATGCCCGGATAATTTTCTATATATAAGTTGGCCAATTAATTTCTTTCTATTATAGTGAGACGAGGTCTCGCTCTTGCTCAGGCTGGTTTCGAACTCCTGACCTTGAGCAATCGCCGCTCGGCCTCCCAGAGAGCTAGGATTACAGGCGTGAGCCACCGCGCCCGGCCAATGTTCCCATTTTATACTACTCCTGCCTAGGCCCCAATGACAGAGTGTTTCCTAGATCCATTCTACACAAAGTTGATCTTTTAAAAAAAAAATTTTTTTTGAGACACAGTCTCACTTTGTTGCCCAGGCTAGAGTAAGTGCCGTGGCATCAGCCTAGCTCACAGCAACCTCAAACTCCTGGGCTCAAGCAATCTACTGCTTCAGCCTCCCAGTAGCCAATTAATTCTTTCTATTTAATAGTAGAGATGGGGTCTTGCTCTTGCTCAGGCTGGTTTCGAACTCCTGACCTCGAGCAATCCGCCCGCCTCAGCCTCCCAGGGATTACAGGCATGAGCCACCGCGCCTGGCCTAAATTTTTTTTTTTTTTAATAGAGATGGGGACTTGCTATGTCACCTATGCTGGTCTTGAACTCCTGGGCTAAGCGATCCTCTTGCCTCAGCCTCCCAAAGTGTTGAGATTACAGGCATGAGCACATGTACCTGGCCTGATATTTTGTTTTCTTCTTCTTTTTTTTTTTAACCCCAGAACTCCCATCCTGGCCTGATTTATAACTTTTAAAATCCACCAGTGGCTCACCGCTGCCCTTAGGGTAAAGTTCAAACTCCTTAGCACTTTTTAGGTCCCCATGATCTGTGCTATCCACCTTTCCAAGCTCATCTTGCCCCACTTTCTGTGTCCCTTTCACTCCAACCAGGCTGAAACACAGGAAATTCCCTGAGGATGTCGTGCTCCCTTTGTACATGCACTTTCACGCCTGGCCAACTCTGCTTGTTCTAAGCCCTGGGGTCATATTCCCCACCAAGCCTTCTCTGAGTCCCCTAGCCTGGCAGGTATGCAGGTCCATTTTCCCAAGGCCCCTGTCTCATGTCTGCCATATCACACTGTTCCTAATGGCTTGTTAACTTTGCCGTATTCTTCCCAGCTTCCTTGAGGACAGCGGCTCTGTAGTGTTTTATTATCTCTGTACCCAAGCAGAGTGCCCTGCACACAGTAGAAGCTCACCGCACATTTGTGATGTGAATGAATGGAAACAGAACTCAGGATTGCAAGGACTCTTGGTGCTTGACTTCCATTAAGCAAGTACCCAAGCATAAACATCATGCCACTGCCACCCCAGTTGGGCATCTGTATGCAATGCTCCCGGGTATCACAGATGTAGTAGGTAGCTGTGCCTTCTTTGAACTCCTTGCCCAGGGTGAAAGGTGTAAAGCGCTGGAACTTCTCAGACAGCTTCTCTGGCCATTTTGGCATTGGGCTGGTTGCACTGCCAGCGGACTTGGTCCTTGGATTGGGGCTGGCACAGCTGGTACCCTCACGCTCACCAGGTACAGTCGTGTACTGTTCCGGCTGCATTGCCACAGAGTCCATCTCATATATCGGACGATGATGTCCAGGTAGTCCATTCACCTCACATAGAACCAGGTAATCCTCTTCCCAGAACCTGGGTGCCCAAGACAAGGAGAGAGCAGGTGGACTATTCAGAACCGAGGCCAGAGCCCGATCCCACATGTTCACATGACCCTCACATTTCACAGTGGACCCTTGAAGATTTTCAAATCTTCAACTCCAATAGTTCTGATCTGATCTATTACAGCAATCCCGATTCCAAATATTCCCACGCCTCCTATTAGTATTCAAACAGCATCCTGAGTATCTTTCAGTACTCCAGTGCATGAGCACTTTCCACCTCCTGATATTTACCCAAGGATGGGCTCCTGCCTGTATCTCCAGCCTCACCTCATCCTCTCTATCCATCAAATATTTCCAAATTATTCTATCCAGTGCTCCTGTTTAAATGTGATTAGACTCAATCCTGAGACCTGCTGCCTGGGCCATTCTGATAATCAGGACCCCGAGCCCCCAACACATCTATGTCGTTCTCTCGCTCCTCATATTTTCCCGCTGACCCGCTGAGTATACTCACTGTTACCAGCTTGCTTGCCAAAGCCCTGTAACTCCAGGCCCACAGATAATGCCTACACCTTAAGT